TCCCACGCTCGTCAATCCCCCATCACTGGTGGGAGTATCGACTCCACGTCGATGCTCCCACCCTCCCCCCGAGTGTGGTCACCTACCCTTATGGTAAATCCACGTCCATGGACAATTCACCGTTATCAATGGACGATATGTCCAGCGTATCCAGAGGGCTAACTTTCTGCTTCTGTTTCTTAGTCTTCAAGGCCGGGCCCGTCGGCTTTTTGAAGACCTTATCCGTCTCCTCCTGCCTTTTAGGGGTGGTGTTTCCAACACGACGCCTACTCTCTTTCAGGGTCCTACAGTAGGGCCCGCCCATACGGTGATTCGCCTCGTAGCCTCTCCTCTTGCAAATGATGCAGGAGTGTTTCTCTTCTTTACACTCCGCTATGAGGTGCCCCTCGTTGCCACAACGGAAGCATTTCTGCACCGGGGCCTCATCTGCTTTTGGGCAGCGTATCTTAACGTGCCCAAATTCAAGGCATTTGTAGCACTGGAGCGGCCTGGCCTCCAGTGGGGTCACTATTGTAGCCGACCAGCCGACCATGAGCCGCTCCAGTGCTACTATCCTCTTCGCGGCGGCGACAGGGCATTTCACCCATGCCGTGCCCATTCCATAGGGTGTGAACTTTATGGTTCCCACCTTTACATCCTCCACGCTACACTCACCCTTGTCTGCGATTGCCGACGCAATTTCCTGTGGGGTAACCGAGTCGTCTATTCTGGTTACCCGCACCTCCGCCATCTTTTGGGGCACCGCAATTTTGACGTCCGCCCTTCCATCAAATAGTGCACGCATCGTCGTAGCCAGAGCAGTAGCCTTCTTGGCGTTATCTTCCCCTACTACTTCCAGGATCATAGCTCCTGTGATAGCTCTTTTGGGCCTGAGCTCCCCTGGACCGATGCCAATCTCCTCTAACACGATATTAGCTCTGGCTTCCTTTATCGTGTCGGTCATCGTCGCTCTTGACCCTGGCGCCAGGCTGACCGACACCGCCGCCGTCTTTGGCACCCGCCCAACCTTGGGTTTCCCCTTTTTAGTGGCCTTCTTCTTGCTTTGCCGCTTTGGGCCTTCTACGCCGGAGGTGGTGGCATCCGGGTCCGAGGACTGAGCGGGTCTTGGACGGGAACGTCTGGAGACCTTCCTCCACTCTCCATCCTCCTCAGTGTCCGTCCCGTATGGCGTTGAGGTCGTCATTCCCTTCTTGGACCTTGTGTCAAGCCCTCGCCTGACACATTCCGCGAAGGTCAGGGACTTTGGCGGTGGCCCCTTCCCGCTGGCGGTCAGAGCACTCCCTCCTGACCGGGTACTTCGGATGGGGATAGTCCGTACCGAGGTCGTGGGTGCCCTTATACCGGTCACGTTCTTCTCGAGGATGCTCTCGATCATCCCGGTTACGCGCTTAGTAATTCTCTCCTCCATGGCGAGGAGCTCCTGCCGAAGGGTTGTCCCCTCATTACCCCGTTCCACTCCCTTTTTTCGGTTCTCGACGGAGGTCAGATGAGGCCGCTCCCTCATTCGATCCACCTGTGCCCTCAGTTGCTCCACCATCGTCTTCAGGGAGGCTATGGTGAGTTCCTGCTCAGAAGTTTTCATTTCCAAGGTTGCATTATGCAACCTTAGTTGTCGCACGTCGACTGGAGCTTGTGATCTTGCGTGCAGCTCCTCGCTCACTACTTTCGTCACCTTGCTGCATAGGCGAAGGTCACGCTTGAAGTTGCCCTTCAAGTTCGCACTATGGTCCGCTACGTAGCGGATCCGGTCCTGCAGCTCGTTGGACCGTGCGATCAGATCAGGGGTCGAGAGTACCCTGATCTCCTCCTTGATGGCTTCTATCGGAGGGAGGTTGTCTGACCTCTTTTTCCTCTTAGACACCTTGAGAGCCTGTTCAACTTCGTCGGCCGTAGACTCGCCCC